CCCCCCCCCCCCCGTTATTATTATTTCCTTAAGGGTCATTGCTTGCCTCTATAGTCATGTGCTTTGTTATGAGTGTTGGCCAACAAACGCGACCCTATAAAAATGCCAAAGTAATTGATTCTTGAATCATTCTTGGCCACTGGTTTGCAACCTGGGGTTGCTTTCCTTTCCATGATGCTGGCAAGGGACGTTTCCATGATCCAAAATGACAGCTGAGGCAAAGGACAACTGACCAGGGAGTTAATTTATTTATTTCATACCTTCCAAGATTTCACAGACGAGTGGCCAAGAGGAGATATTGACAAGCTGGAATGTGTCCAGAGGAGGGTAGCCTGAAGAAGAGAAGGCTGAGAGGAGATATGATAGCCATGTATAAAGATGTGAGAGGAAGCCACAGGGAGGAGGGAGCAAGCTTGTTTTCTGCTTCCTTGGAGACTAGGACGCAATGGAACAATGGCTTCAAACTACAAGAAAGGAGATTCCATCTGAACATGAAGAAGAACTTCCTGACTGTGAGAGCCATTCAGCAGTGGAACTCTCTGCCGCGGAGTGTGGTGGAGGCTCCTTCTTTGGAAGCTTTTAAACAGGGGCTGGATGACCATCTGTCAGGGGTGATTTGAATGCAATATTCCTGCTTCTTGGCAGAATGGGGTTGGACTGGATGGCCCATGAGGTCTCTTCCAACTCTTTGATTCTATGATTCTATGTGGCCAAAGTGTCCAAAGTTATGAATGAGGAAGAATGTAAACACTAGGAAAGGATGCCGTAGTTTGCTTTTGCCTGAGCCTAGAGTCTTTAGATGCATCCAGACTGCAAAACAGTGGTTCCCAACTAGTGGTCCATGGATCACCAGTTGTCCACAAGAAATAAAATATGGTCCGCGGCATCACCGTTACTCATGAAACCCTCTTATAGTACCAAGGCTTATTAAATATGATTTTCTGTGGGTGACCAGATGGGACATCCGTAGGGATACCAAGGTGCTTGTTTATAAAGCTATTGCCCTCCCAACCCTGCTCTATGCCTGCGAAACATGGACTGTCTACAGATGTCACATGCAACTCCTGGAACGATTCCATCAGCGCTGCCTCTGGAAAATCCTGAAAATCTCTTGGGAAGACAGGTGGACAAATATCAGCATGCTGGGAGATGCAAAATCCACCAGCATTGAAGCGATGGTCCTCCACCATCAACTCCGCTGGACCGGCCACGTTGTCCGGATGCCTGACCACCGTCCCCCAAAGCAGTTGCTCTAATCCGAACTCAAGAATGGAAAATGGAATGTTGGTGTACAGGAAAAGAGATTTAAAGATGGGCTCAAAGCCAATCTTTAAAACTCTGGCATAGACACTGAGAACTTGGACTGTCTACAGATGTCACATGAATGTGGACTGTCTACAGATGTCACATGCAACTCCTGGAACGATTCCATCAGCGCTTCCTCCGGAAAATCCTGCAAATCTCTTGAGAAGACTGGAGGACAAATGTCAGCATGCTGGAAGTAGCAAAGACCACCAGCATTGAAGCGATGGTCCTCCGCCATCAACTCCACTGGACCGGCCACGTTGTCCGGATGCCTGACCACCATCTCCCAAAGCAGTTGCTCTAATCCGAACTCAAGAACGGAAAACGGAATGTTGGTGGACAGAAAAAGAGATTGAAAGATGGGCTCAAAACCAATCTTAAAAACTCTGGCATAGCCACTGAGAACTGGGAAGCTCTGGCCCTTGAGTGCTCCAGCTGGAGGTCAGCTGTAACCAGCAGTACTGCAGAATTTGAAGAGGCACGAATGGAGGGTGAAAGAGAGAAATGTGCCAAGAGGAAGGCGTGTCAAGCCAACCCCGACCGAGACCACCTCCCACCTGGAAACCGATGTTCTCACTGTGGAAGAAGATGCAGATCAAGAATAGGGCTCCACAGCCACCTACAGACTCACAAGAATTCTGATCCTGGAAAACTATCCTACTTGGCCAATGAGGGATCGCCTAAGTAAGTAAGATGGTGACTACTGGATGGCATATATTCTGGATCAGAAACCAGAGCTAAGGTGGTCTATCCAATGCAGTTTTCTGAACCAGCATCCCAAATAACCAAACCAAATCTAGAGTTGAGCAAAAACCCGTTTGTAACCATTTTGGTACTATTGTTGGAGAGTGGTCCCTGGTCAAAATGGTTCCTGGTCAAGTAGTCCCTGGTCAAAAATAGGTTGGGCACCACTGCTGTAGAGTGAATGCAGTTTGACAGCACTTTAACAGTGATGAAATCCTGGGAGTTGTAATTTCTCAAGGTCTTGAGAGCTTCTCTGTCCCAGAAGGGCAAACTGCAACTATGATTCCATAGCACTGAACCATGGCAATCAAAATAGTTTCAAATTGCATGCATTGTCACAGTGGAAATGAACCCACAGTCTGTTGGAGCATGTAAAAATCAGTTGGTAAGTGTGTTAACCGAATAATGCAAAGCATGAAGCTTATTGGTTGAGCCACACCCGAGAGGCTAGCTGAGTCTGGGAGTTCTGGCTACTGTTACATGTTTAGGTTTTCTGTGCAGGGAGTGTACCAAGTCAGTTTTGTATTTCTGCTTCTGAACTGGTGAAAGAACCTTCACATGGATACCATTTGAATCTTTCTCAGAGGACATTGTGTGAGTCAATGCAACTGTTCACATGACTGTATATATGTTGCTCTGCATAAGAAAGAGTAAACACCTTGTTCTTTACTGGTTATCTGCGTGGTATATCTTTTCCCTGGCAAGACAGTGTGTGGATTGGTAAAGATGTGAACTATGTGTGATTTTCATCCCACCAAACAGTCCACCTTGCTGTGCCATCCATCCCTGGAGAGTTCTAGTTTGACCTTGGATGCAGATTCAGAA